GTTTTCGTTTGAGGTTATGTCCTCAGTATGACCACGAAATGCACGATTCTGAGAAGCTAAATACTGTATACAATCCAGCAACCGTCGCAGTACATCTCTCCATTTATTTATTTTTTTGCTAAATTTGCCCTTGCAGCTCTTCACCAAAGCCACTTTGAAGACAAATTCAGCGCTCAGTTTCTTTCCAAGCAGCAAATGACTCACGATGACTGTCACTATTTTCGTGGGCATTTAACTTTTCAATTTTTTTTCACTTAGAGAATCCACCCCGTGTTTTGAAAGCAGACCGACTGTCCGATGTCATACATATAGATGAAAAAAGAAAACAACAAACGCATTAGGCCTGTAATGTTTACTAGATCTAGGCCTTGCCTGTTGCATATATTGCCAATCTTGCACACCAGTTAATATTGTTACGTCTTTGGTCGTTAGTTAATTTCCCGTATAATTTCTTTCCGATGAAACTTTAGCGACACAAGTCCTTTCTTAAATAAAACTAGTTTATTCTTTCTCAATACAACTTTGAAATTCATTTAATTTTCACGATCACGCTATAAGTTGCCGTCATTTCTTGGCAGTCTTATATACAAAAATTTCACATATCTAGTAAACACTCGAGGCTTCAGGAAGGGACATGAATTTTCTAGAAGCTCATGACGTGTTACTAGAGTCACGTGACTTCCGCTGTCGTAACAATATGTTACATCAATCTCGTATTTTCTTTTTCGTTGAACATACACTTACTTGTACGTTGTATTCTAGGACTTGTATTTGATCTACAGATGAATGATGGAATAGTGTAATTTACTTCTGTACATCAATTTGGTCTCACTGTATTTCAGTGGGCGGCTTTTAAAAGTTAAAACTGCAAGCGTATAATACACACAAATAACGTAACACTGTGTCGTATTTACTTAACGTAGGGCAGTTGCGCTATATCATAGGTGAGGGAATAATTATTAATTAATAGGCATTATAGGACAGAGGAAATTTTGCGCCCCTTCACACCTGCGCCCGGGGGCGACTGCCCCCCTTGCCACCCTCTTGCTATGCCACTGAAGTCTGTAAACTTACCGCTAATCCCCTGGGGACCTACTTAATTCTAAAGAAATACAAGTGATCTATTGTAATGACACTGAGTTGACTGTCCTGAAAATGAGCGCGTACTTCATTTCAGCTGATTTAAATAAGAACTTTATAATGGAACAAAATTGGTAGTTACGAAGCTGTTTTATTTATGATAGATGTTGAAATTATAACAGGCGGATTTCGAGGAAATAGTGTGCTTATTCCTGGAATAACATTGAGTCCACCAGATATAAATCTGCCTTTTCAAACGAAGAAAAAAAACATTTCCAAAAAAAACTTTTATATTCTATGACTGTAAACAAGTCACAAGGACAGGCACTGACAAAACTAAATCTGAAACTTGTACACTTCTCATTTCTACCTCGGGCATGTGTTGGCTCTGTGATAGACTGAATTCTGAATTTCTGCGCTGGCTCGCTGCATTCTATTATGTTTGAAGTCACAGTCAAGTCATTTTATATTATCGATAAAATAAAACTAAAATCTTTATGATGTTCTAGCTCATAACCACGTTATAAAACAAGAACAAAAATATTCATCATGTTCGACGTCATAATCAATTTATTATATATGACGAAAAATAAAACTAAAATCTTCCTGATGTTCTAACTCATAACCACGTTATAAAATAAGAACAAAAATTTTCGTTATGTTGGATGTCATAATGACGTTATTTTATATTGCGATAAAATAATAAATATCTATGCCGTAACTACGTTATTTTGTACTAATTCCAACATGAGATTACACTTGTACAAAACACGGATTTATACACAAAAAGATCACAATATTCTGAGGTATTTAAAAAGGCACCAATATTTACTTCTTCAATTAATGTGGCTGATAAAATACACAGTTGATACTTTCAACTATATCTTATTTTAAATACGTTTATTTTTATAGCATGTTGATAGGATAAGCAAATAAATTGAAACAATTGCGACGCGGTTCTACATCTCAAGTCAATGAAATATTTCTCTAACATCCTTAACTGTAGAACTAAAGGAAATATACAATTATCTACCCATTAATCTAAAGATTTTGACTTCTTTATTGTAATTCACTATACATTGTTACATACATACTTTAAACTAATTACCTAGACTTTGGGAGAAGGGCAAGTGTCATCAATAAAACAGTCGATATCTCTCCAGAAGAGAAATACAAGGTCATAAAAAATATATAGAATATCCAGCGTCATTTGGTGCAAGCTAGATCAATTATGAACATTTAGAATATAGAAAGTACTGACGAATAAATGAACGTATTTGATGTTTAAAAACTTTACCTGTGATCTGATGTGTTGACATGATTCTCAAGCGACAGCGTATCAGCACGTGCATAGATAGTACCAAGTTGAATGATACAAAATTTAAATCTGACTCGTTCCTGTCGTAGGATCACTAAGAATGCACACTCAAGTTGACCATTTCCATAGCGACCATTAGGTAAACAAGTCGTTGCTAGAAGGAACACTGCACGTGAGAAAGTGATTATCTCTGACACGCAGGTTATTAGAAAATGTATAGCGTTTACTTGTGGTAGCCTTACAAGTCTTAAGAGTAAATTAGAGTTAGAGAAAAAATAAAATAAAAAATCATCATCATAGACTACTGAGGGTTTTATCAATCCCAGAAAAAAATTATATTGTTAAAAAATACAATTTAAATATTACAATATTGGCATTTAATCAATGTACAAAACATTAATTTTTGATTACCTCTGAATACAAAATAGATAAATGTCCCGATTAAACTTATAATTAAAGGTCATTAAGTACAGGTGAAAAATAATGGCCTAGCGGTTAGAGATTTATACTCGCAATCTAAGTATCAAAATCCGGCGCCAACATGCTCGCCTTTCAGCCATGGACGTAGTTTAGTGTGATGAACTGTCTCACTGATTGTTGACGATGGGTGCTTCCCTCTGGTCGGTAGTTCCAAATTAGGAACGGCGGCACAAACAAACTTGAAAGAAATAATCGTTTCCTAATCGTGTTTTACTTAAAAGAAATAATCGTTTCCTAACCCTGCTTTGCTTAAAATAAGTTTCCTAATCATGTTTTATTTGAAAGAAATAACCGATTTTAAATTGTGTTTTACTTGAAAGCAATAACTGTTTTCTAATCGTGTTTTACTTGAAAGCAATAACTGTTTTCTAATCGCGTTCTACTTGAAAGAAATAATCGATTTCTAATCGTGTTTTACTTGAAAGAAATGTTTTCTAATCTTGTTTTATTCAAAAGAAATAACCGATTTCTAATCCTGTTTTACTTGAAAGAAATAACTGTTTTCTAATCTTGTTTTACTTGAAAGAAATAACTGTTTTCTAATCTTGTTTTACTTGAAAGAAATAATCGATTTCTAATCCTGTTTTACTTGAAAGAAATAATCGATTTCTAATCCTGTTTTACTTGAAAGAAATAATCGATTTCTAATCCTGTTTTACTTGAAAGCAATAACTGTTTTCTAATCCTGTTTTACTTGAAAGCAATAATCGATTTCTAATCGTGTTTTACTTGAAAGCAATAATCGATTTCTAATCTTGTTTTACTTGAAAGAAATAATCGATTTCTAATCGTGTTTTACTTGAAAGAAATAACTGATTTCTAATCCTGTTTTACTTGAAAGAAATAATCGACTTCTAATCGTGTTTTACTTGAAAGAAATAACTGTTTTCTAATCTTATTTTACTTGAAAGAAATAACTGTTTTCTAATCGTGTTTTGCTTGATAGAAATAACTATTTTCTAATCGTGTTTTACTTAAAAGAAATAAATGTTTTCTAATCTTGTTTTATTTAAGGGAGTAATAATAGCTTCGTTGTTATGCCGTTACTAGGCTAACATAGAAATTCATTAGTTTAATCTGATTTCATTAATAAAAACAAACAAACAACTTATTATTTCAATATATCTGTATTCATATAACCATTGATAAGAAACAGGTATAGACAGTTCTGGAAGCTGCTTGTAAGTTGAAACAACAACGTCTGCTAGATGAGTGTATGCGACAGCAGCAGCTAACTAATTATCGAGACATCGATTTTATAGCTGAGATATAACACTTCTAATGTTATCTACTACCTGCTTCCTTCCTATTTCATAAGGTACAAGTTATTGACAAAACTACGAATTTCCTTAATATTTTGAAAAAGATGTTGTAATCTAGACATGTTGTAATTAAAATAATCTTTAAGAAAACAAATTTTGTATCAAACAGGGTAAGCGAGGCTAATTTAAAAAAATGACCTTCTATATGCGTGAGGGTTAGGAAATTAATTAACATTGAAAACGAAATAAGTAGTACATTCCATCTATACAATATAGCATTAGGGGAACACAAAGACAGTCTATAAAGGTATCACGGGTCCACGTAACTTACAGGTTAGAAATGTTCATCCTGTCAACTAAAATAAACACCAGTGAGATGAGCAAATACCATCACAAAGGTAACATTAAAATAAATAAATGATCGTGAGTTTAGTTGGATAACGAAAATTACAACATATCATATTGCAGCTTTTGGTGATGGAATGAATTTATATCGGTTAGATACCAGTAATCTAAAGGTGTGAGGGGAATTCTACCGAAAAGAGGAGACCCAAAGAGCATCAGAAGAACTGGTCATCGGTATATATTACTGATATATGTATATATGGAAAATAAAGTATCATTTATCAATGTTGTCTTTGATGGTTTACAGGTGACACAACTCTTATAGGACAGATTCCTAGAGCCTTAAGAAAACACGATTAGCTAACTAGTTCATATCCTCATACTGTACAGCAACTGAAACTAGGTTTAAAAATACAGTACGTTAATCAACCATAGAATTAGGCAACTCTGCATGTTCACACCGTTAGAACAAATCTATGATTCTCAGTAAATTGCATTTTTGCTAAAACTTTAAATGTTTTATAAAGGTTAAGTAATATGCTTTAGAAGCTTATAGAAAATTTAATATTTAAATGATCTGAAACTATGAAGAGTTGTTTCAATAACCTTTCTAAATAGAACAACATTAGTGAATGTTGAATTTTCATTCCACCATTTCAAGCATGTGTTCTTTATTCTCATGTAAACCTCCCATGGTTGGTGATTGTATGATTTTACTACTGATTGCATATTCCTGGTATTTGTAACTGTCTCATAATAACACTCATTACAGTTTCTGTAGGAATTAGATTAACTTACAACAGATTGTGCACATTAGGAGTAAAGTTTAAAATAAGTTAGTCCCAAGTTAAATAAGATAGCAATTGGTATAAGTGGGGCTGCAATTTAAACATGCTATGGATACAGCCAAAATAAAGCCAGAAGTAGAAGCAGGTGCAAGATCTGGAACAAACATTATGACAAATGTAGATTTAAATCTAGCAGCAGCTCCTTGTAATCTTGCAATGCAAAATAGTTATTGGAATTTCACAAATGCTATTTCATTGTTTTAGAAAATGACTTTGAGAGTTTCTTAGATGCTAAAAATGAAGAAGTGCACATCTCAGGCTGGACAGTTACAGAAGGCAGATATATTTAGGTTAAGGACATTAGGCCACGCTAAGAGATTTACTGGGGGCTTATAATGAACTAAGGCTGACTCACAATTTTAATATACTAAGAGATAAGTTATTAAGAGAATAGAAAACAAGAAATGCCTAATACAAACATGAAACAACTGAGAGGTGAATCTGTCAGAGTATTTGAATACAGGTTACAAGGATTAAATTAGAGATTAAAACAAGTTAATATGCATCCAAATGGATTGATGATACATTAAAGTATAAAAAGAAAAAGGTCTTGTTAGTCACTTAATGAGGTTAAATGAGTGACACTTAGCTTTGATAGAATTACTATTTAGCTGATGTTACTAGGGCCATAGAACTGTGACAGTGGCCTTAGTAACATCAGAAAAATTGGGCGGAGTTTAATCATCAAAACTTTTCTTTACACATTTCACTAACTCTCATCTTTTTTTTTAAAGTCATAAACATACCATAAATTTCACTGCTATCATTCAATAATACTTTTGTATATCATAAACCTTTACATTTTTATCTTGGTATATACCAATTTTATATATAAACTTATATGCTTAGCTGTATATCATACCTGAAGATGACAAACCAATGTTCTGTTGAAACATATAATACTTTTACTATGCTTATAAATAGTTGTTTATTAATTTAATATATTAGTCCTTATGCTAACCAAGTGACGTTACTTAGTGTTTGAGGTTCTGCATTGATCTTAGAAGGTTAAACTTGGTCATGGTAAAGAACACTTTTCCATGATCTAATAAACAGACCTTAGGTAGAGAAAGTACTTTTTGTCCAAGGAGATCAAATGCACTGACTGACACATCAAAATAGAAAAACAAAGACAAAAAACTGCATTTATATTACCTTCAGGAAGGTATCAGTTGACTAGAATGCCTTTTGATTTATATAACAATCCAACAATTAATGGATGTAGTATCATTAAGGAATGTTTGATTTTATAGTTTTTAAGAACACTTAGTTAAATTAAATTATTTGTTTGACAAATTATGCAAGCAAGCTTTACACTAAAGCTCTGCAAGAGCCATTTTCAAAGAAAGTAAGTAGATTATTTAAGTCATTAGATGACTATAGATGGTGCCAAACCCTCCAAGAGCCAACTTCAAAGAAAGTAAGTAGATTATTTAAGTCATTAGATGATTACAGATGGTGCCAAACCCTCCAAGAGCCAACTTCAAAGAAAGTAAGAAGATTATTTAAGTCATTAGATGATTACAGATGGTGCCAAACCCTCCAAGAGCCAACTTCAAAGAAAGTAAGTAGATTATTTAAGTCATTAGATGATTACAGATGGTGCCAAACCCTCCAAGAGCCAACTTTAAAGAAAGTAAGTAGATTATTTAAGTCATTAGATGATTACAGATGGTGTCAAACCCTCCAAGAGCCAACTTTAAAGAAAGTAAGTAGATTATTTAAGTCATTAGATGACTACAGATGGTGCCAAACCCTCCAAGAGCCAACTTTAAAGAAAGTAAGTAGATTATTTAAGTCATTAGATGATTACAGATGGTGTCAAACCCTCCAAGTGTCAACTTAGAAGGAATTAAATAGATTACTTAAGTTGTGAGGTGACCACAGATGGTGTAAAACTCTACAAGTGCCAACACTGAAGAAAGGAAGTAGATTATTTAAGTCATTAGATGACTACAGATGGTGTCAAACCCTCCAAGTGTCAACTTAGAAGGAAATAAATAGATTATTTAAGTTGTGAGGTGACCACAGATGGTGCAAAACCCTCCAAGGAATTAAATAGATTACTTAAGTTGTGAGGTGATCACAGATGGTGTCAAACACTCCAAGGAAATAAGTAGATTATTTAAGTTGTGAGGTGATCACAGATGGTGTAAAACCCTCCAAGGAAATAAGTAGATTATTTAAGACGTGAGGTGATCACAGATGGTGTCAAACCTTACAAGTGCCAACTTTGAAGGAAATAAGTAATTACTTAAGTTGTGAAGTGACCACATATGGTGTAAAACCCTTCAGGTGTCAATTTCAAAGAAAGCAAGTAGATTATTTAAGTCATGAGGTGACCACAGATGGTGTAAGACCAGACCCAAAACGTTTTAGGTACACAAGAATAATCCTGTGTCAAAAATAGTAAAAGGCATTAGAGCATTTTTAGAACTTTACAGAAGGCTTACTTGACATTCTGTAATACTAAAAAAGCTTTTAATGGTGTTGACAGAAAATGAATTAGGTTTTCAGTGGATAAATAATATGCAAGAAGCATCTCAGAAACACAGATTCGTTACTAAAAACAATTTTGAGTTACTCACATTTGAGTAGATAGTAGAAACCTTATTTTGAAGTTAATAAAAATATGCATATTATTAGGTGTAAAAAAAGCCAACTATATATCATTCAGTTGTTAATGAATAAGTATAGATTTAACATAAATCTGTAAGATACGTTGTCAAAGTACTGTGAACCAAATCAGAAAACATGGGTTGAGCAGGTTCCATTATTGTTATTAGCTTACAGGAGTGCCAGTTAAGCTAGGAGAAAATGTTACTATATACCCAGCTTGTTAAAACAGAAAAAAAGAACAAGCTATGGATCAGCCTATTTATTCATAAAACAAAGATGTATGGTGAATTTTGTGGTACAATAAGTATATGGTAAGAGATGACAGTACATATCGAAAGGTTGAAGAAGTTTAAAGAAGCTAAGTCATAGGAATATAAAAACTTATCCAAAGAGTAAGTCAGTTAAACAAATCCTTGAGTAGGGATTTAAAATAAGGCATTAAAGAACAACAATGAGATAAAGTTACAAGATGAATGCATTGAACACACAGAAGATGAAACTGCATACACTCCAATTCATTACAGTGATGTAGCTGATACAGAGGTCTTTACATTAGAAACAAACCAGACTAGTAAACAGAATATTGGTACTAATGAAAACACAACACTAGACACTGTAGCTGAAACAAGCACTACAGAGGTACAAAGCCTGATAATAACAGGTGTTAGTAGAAGTGTTAGCAGCAACACAGCTAGCACAGACTATTTAAGTATGAGTATGACATATAACATTGCTAGTGTTTACTAGGCAGTAGTATTAATGACATATAATGTTTCTAGAGTTGATACTACATCCTAGTCAACCATTGATAATACTGCCTAGTCAACTCTAGCAGTGTTATATGTCATTGATACTACTGCCTAGTAAACTCTAGCACTGTTATATGACATTGATACTACATCCTAGTCAACTCTAGAAACATTAAATGTCATTAATACTACTGCCTAGTCAACTCTAGCAGCATTATATCTCAACATATAACACTGCTAGAGTTGACTAGGCAGTATTATCAATGGCATATAACACTGCTATAGTTGACTAGGCAGTAGTATTAATGACATTTAATGTTTCTAGAAATTGACTCTTTGAGAAAATTGAGGTTGCATTGGCAATAATGATTGCAAGGGCTTTGCAATCTTTGCCATAACAATCCAGCTTTATTATGAAAGAATGTATGAGCCATCTCAGCCTTATTTAGAAAATAGTTTTATCTTGAGAGAGTGTATGAGCCACCTCAGCATTATTTAGAAAACAGCTTTATCTTGAGAGAATGTATGAGCCACCCCAGCTTCTTCATGAACATCTATTTTGTTTTGTTTTGGTGGATGAACATATATGGTTTTAATTTGATAGGTTCAAAGTCAGTTAGAATGAGCTAGCTATTATTACTTTTCTAACAAGATTTACCACCTATGGTTAAAAATGAATATGTCAGTGAAAATACTGTGAAAAATCCTAAAAGACTAGTGATGCTGCTTTCACAATTTTGATCATTACTTAATAAATTTTTGGATTAGTAAACAACATGATACTTCTCATCATTTTTACTCATGAACATCATTGTTATATTTATTATATGATAGTAAGTGGCTCCAATATATGTGAAGATTGACTACACACTTGATATCAAACAGTGACTGTCAAATTCCCATTCTTTAACCTGTGAGAATAACATTTTACAAAAGTTGCAAGTTTTTTCACAACTATTTATTTCTTGAAAAGTGTCTTACAAATCAGAATTTGACTACCAACATTTCCAGTCTTGTAATGGAACAATATTTATATAAACAAACAGTATTACTTTTTGTTGATACTGTAACGTTGTATACTGGCCATTTCAGATATATAAATATTCACATTTTCCTAAAATTTTAATGTAAACTCCTACATATTTTAAGATGTAATTCTCTTTGTCATTGAAAGATCACTAATATCTCCTTCAACAAAAAATATTTTAAATAAAAAACCTAAGCATTCTCGTCATCTAGAACTTTTAACAAGTAACTGAAACTTTTGCCAGACTATTGCATAAGAGCATCTTTGGAACTCTTGTTTTTCAGAAAAATTAAATAAATGAATGCTGAGGTAGTTCTGCCTTTATGCAAAACCCACATCCAAAGTCATCATCAACAGGAACCCGATGATTGCAAACCAGGAAGCAATACTTCCATTCCCACTGGAATACAAAAAAAACAAAAAACTTAATATTTCAATCTGTCATGATGAGATCAGATACACTTTACTAAAACACTATTCTATTGTATCATGTTAATCAAATAAATATGAAGATAAAAATTGAAAGATGGAAAAACACAAGAAACAAACATCATTATGTTCTTCATTGAAATTTTGCACAATCAATGTTTTACACAAGTAACTTGAATTTTAACAACTCTGGTCTGGTAAGCATAAACTAATACAAAAGAGTTTGTTGAAGAAGATAAAATAAATAATGTACATTATTATTAATCAACAACATTATCAGAGCTTCTGGAAGACAAATATAGCTTAAGAGTAAAATCTACTAGAAGCACCTAAACAATGTACCACTTCATTGTAATGATCCTTGGAAAATAGCATTCTGATGCAAGGTAGATGAAAGTTACAAATCATATAAAACCATTGAACACTATATTTGAAACAATATAATTTTGAAACAGTTAATTCTCAAAAAGAATTAATAAAATCATGAAAAAGTACAAAGGAAACACAAAAATGTTATTGTTTTGTCTTCTCAGCACAAAACTGCACAGTGGGTTATCTGTGCTGTGCCCACTGCAGAGAATCCATGCCCACCCCCCTCCACACAGGATTACACAATACATAGTTGATTTCCAACAATAATCACTCGAAGGATTTCACAGGAAATCCCCAGCAAACAAACATCATATTATTACAAGACTGAAATAAAACAAACAATAAACAACAGATACATACGTAAAGGCTTTGGAAATGTGACAGACACAAACAATCAAACATATTAGTGGTTTAAAAACTGGATATTTACAAGCCTGTAACTGTGTAATTCAATTGCTGACACAATAGGACTCAAGGGATTATCAGTTTTATGGACCTCTGGAAGGCCAAATATTATATTTGGTTACGAACCACAAAGACTGAATGTGTTGTAAGTATAAACATCTTTGCTTTAACTCTGAGGAAGGAATGCATTTTTTCTTCCCTTTGAGCATAGATAGTTAGGGTATCAGAGTCAAAAAGCTGAAGTTCAGGTTAACCACTAAGAATGGTGTTCATTCCATTTCCTTTGTCTCAATGTGATATAACAACATCTGCTTTAAAAAAAAGAAGTTATTTTAGGATAGCTACTTATTCTTTTCTTAAAAGTACGGTTATTAAAACAGGCTAGTTTTCAGTTTCTTCCATGTAATTTCAAATAGTAAGACATAAAACTTAATTTGAAGAGTGAGTTTAATCCTAAGAGAAGATAAAAGATATTTAGTAAATAAAGAAACCATGTAGCCCTGTTCCTTAGGTCTGATTGATAAAAACTCTGTTTCTTAGGACCATTTGGTCAAAACATGTGACAAAGTTCTTAAGACCTGCTTCATACACTTGAACTTAACAATATTTGTGTGTTTCCATTCAAGTTCTCTATACAGTAGGCATTACTTAAATTGCTGATAGATTGAAGTGCCATCCACGTAGAAGTATGTAACTTGAAATAAAGAAATTCCATCCAGTATACTTCAAGGATAACAGTAGTACATTGGGTGTCATATAAATGAAAAGTTTGCAACATGAAATTAAGAAACCCCTTTCAGTATACATCAAGGACAACAGTGGCAGATTTGGCATCATGTAGATGAGAAGTATACATCTTGAAACGAAGAAACTTGACATTTCAATGTTTACATTTTGACAAAAATGTTATGTTCAGGAGAATTTTATACACTTTGAAGAAATCTTTAAAGAAGAAAATTTAAAAAGGATGTCTTTATTTGAAATATATCTGAATGAGGGTTAAAATATCACTTGGATGATTGTGAATTAAATTTTCACGAAAAATATACTTTTTTTTCACACAGATTTAAATCTTCAAGTAACCTTACCCCATATTAGCTTCAGGAATGATGTCATCAAAAACAACAAACACCATAGCACCTGCAGCAAATGCTAAAGCATATGGTAAGAGTGGTTCTGCTATACTAACAGCCATAACACCTAGTAAACCTGCAACTGGTTCTACAATCCCACTAAGCTGCCCATACCTACAAGAAAAATATAAAGTATTCAGTTATTATGTAAGATTTGAATAGCTAACTTTTTCATAGAAAAGCTTTTTATATGTATGATCTGAAACTTAACTGGGTAATCAGAGGCAGTAAAAATTTTGTTAAAATGAAAAAACTACCATACAAGCTTTAATATTTTAAAAGCTCCAAAAACAAAAACAAAAAAACAGAAATTTTCAACCACACATCTAATTCACTTATAGGGTACCTTAAAGATTGGCTATATTTTCATAATGAACTAGAAAAGGCTATCTGTATCGTGAGTCTGTTCAAGTTACTTAGTGAATTCATTAAATTTCAAGTAGGAAAAATGAAAGTAATACATTATAATTTCATTTATAAACCTAATCAACATGAAGTGTGTTATTGTAGGAAGGACATATTTCTTGTCTTTTGACACTAAAACCTAGTGACATGCACAGAAAAAGAGGTCTATGGAGAGAGGGTTAAAACAAGTCAAACATATATAGAAATGTTTGTTACACTGTTTTTATCACAATTGTATCTAGAGCTTTAAATAATTGTCTCTCTTTCATCAAAGCACGCTTCAGTTACCAAATATCTTTATGTTATACTGAAATTCTTTGTCATGCTGCCAATAAGTTCATGTTGATCTGAATGTTTAGCATCTGCTCTCCACTGGTTGAATACTTACCTGAGGTGTACACAAACCAATGAAAGACTGAGTGGCCTAGCTTTAATACATAAATCATTATGACACTGCTATCAACAATGAAACTGTATGTAAGTTATTTATGGAAAAGCACCCCAGAAGAATGGAGCATGCTAATGTTATATCAGTAATGCATACATGTACGTTTATGATAGCCAATGATTTAAATAGCAAATATACTATTGTTGTACAAGGTTGTTTAAATTAGTAATATAATTTAACAATTAATAACTACTCTATATGTAGATAGTACCGTACTTTATTGTAATAAAACACACATACTTATTGAATCTTAAGTCTACCTCCCATGCAGTGTTACAACAGATTG